ATACATTTGTGTATTGATAAGACCGTTTACTATTTCTTGAAGCTCAATCTCTTCCCCGGATGAACCGTATAGCCAAGAGAAATCATGAACCAGAATAGAAGAGTTTGCCCCACCCATGAGTAAATATTTCATAGTAGCCTCATTAGACCGTACATCTTTTAGTAGTTTGTGAATTATGACACCAGATTCTGGGTAGTTGTATATAAATATTTGGGTTATTATGAAACTCCGCACTTTTTAATCTGTTATGATATAATTAATATTATTTACTTTCTAATTGTTGGCTTGCCTAGCACTGAAAGGTTAGGCGTCATCACGGTCCCGACGGTGGAAAATTCGGGTCCTGACAACATAATTATCTCTTTTGTATTTGTGCAGAGTGATTGGTCCTACAGTGCCCGTCGTAGAATTACTTGTTGCAGCAACTAAATTGACAGAAGCAAAAGCCGAGCTAAGGTATTTCTACAAAGTTAAACTTTCATCAATTTATTGACCCACTTCTAAAACTTTATCTTCTTATCATGATTTGTGGTTTAACATTTAAATGTACTGCCAAGGTCCAACTATGCATGAATATATTTTAAGTCTATCCTGTTGACAAAAAACGTATACTAGTTCAAGTATATTATGCTGAAATTTACTCTTAAAACTATAAACTATGCTTGATCTAAATTAACAAGTTTAAGTAAGTGGCACACGCATCTCTTTGAGGTCGTTCACAACAAGTAAAAATGGTATTCCATCTTTATCAGTTTTAGTAGTTCCTCCTGCAGGGGACACTTTTTCTTGATATCAAAATTGTAATTTCTAGTTTCTAGTCTTATGCTTGTTCTTTTTTCTACCCGTATCTCTATCAAAGTATAGTTTTGGATTGTTAGTAATTCAACATTTAGACCATTAAGTTTTGGAGCGAACAATAAATTGTATTGAGAAATGAAGCTTCTTATTATTACTTAGTCAGGTGAAAAACCCTTTGAACTATTACAGGTGAATGACTTATGCTCTGGTTGTTTTATATCTCTGGCCATCATTCCAAGTAACAGTTAAAGGATTCTTTAAGCACCCTTGCTAAATAAATTCCTTTACTGCCTAGAAAAAATATTGCTTGGGTTTAGTATTCAATTAGCTTCATTTTTTCCCGTATTTTATCTATAATTAATTTCGTGTAACCAAATAAGATAAGTCATTTTTGATGGTTTTGTAGGTGAAATGAACAAAGGGTAGCGGAAAGCAATGAAGACCTTACTTAAGAGTATTGGTTGATTGTTATTAAACTTTTAGATGTTCTATGGATCTTCTATTCTATAGCTTTTACAAACTTATGTATGTTAACTCTTGAATTGTCAAAAAAATATTGTATATTTGCTTTTATAAATTGACAATACTAGTTCGATGTTTTGGATTATGATTTTATCAATGAGTAGTTTTATTTTGCATTTACATTTATTATATAGGTAATAATTAATGTAGTAGACCACCAAACCGTTGCAATAGCTCCTAGTAACCATTGCAATAACTCCAAATAGCAGTTTCAATTGCTCTTGATGCCGTCGCCATAGCTTAAAAAGCCGTTGCAATAGCCTCAATAATCATTGCACAAAATGATACCGCAACGTTTTTGAACTGTTCCATTTATCAAGAAAACCGTTGCAATAGGTAGGCAATGGCGTCGCTTTCAAAACCATTGCAATAGATACACTTAGTGCAGCGGCCCTACAACCGTTGCACGAAACCGTTGCGACAGACCTATCGGCACGCGACCTGAGGGAACGGACGTAAAATTGTTGCAATAACTCTTTTGCTATGGTTTTGCTACCTATTGCAACGGATTTGACCCGTAGCATATTTTCCGGTAGTGTATTAAGAAATCTGTTGATTTTCATTTGGGCTAACTTGTATCGTCTTCTAAAACTCTTGCAACTTTTCTTTCTTGACGTCGGCAGCATCCAAGCCTCCTTTGTTTTCTTTGCATGTAAATATTTGTTATAAACATGCAATTCGACTTCTGTCAAGATATAGTGGCTTGCCTTGTAATTCAATTGCCTATTCTTCTTCAATATATTGTGAAGACACTTCGTGTGTAGAGGCGTATACAGGATTTAAATTCTATGGGTTCAAATTTTAATGTTTCTAACAATGAACACATTATATTTTTAAAGCTATGGATTCATATCTATTTTTTTTCAATTTTAATGAATTTTTACATATAAATTTTTACTACGCGGCAAAAGTTATGATTCAATTGAACCCGTCGGCATAACACTACATCCGCCCATACGTGTGTCAATGTTTTGCCGTCGCACAAGTCTTTGTTCATTAATGGAACATCTTAATCTAACATCATTCAAATATTCTTCATTGCCAAGCCCCCCCCCCCCCCCCGACCCCAACCAACAACAGAAAAAACGAAAATAGTGTTGTGCGCTACTGTGTTAAAATACAAAATCAGAAAACTGTTAGAAGGATAAAAGAAACTGGAAAAACAGTAAAGAATAAGAAATATTCCGAGTCCACAATTTGCTTGTGTGTCCTTAAGGAATTTTAACCCCCTCACACGTTGCCAAGGTAATGGATTAAATCCTCCTAGGATGAAACGGAATAAACCTTCCTGCAACAGTGGCAATACAAACTGCAGGATACCAACGAACTCAAAGAACGGAGCAAAATCACACTTACGAATTTGAGAGAGAGAGACTGCAAATTAGAATGTAGTATTTTCAGAAAGAAGGAAGTTCTGTAATGTTTTTGGTGTGTTAAAAACAAAGCCATGCCTCAGAATTTATAGGCAATTATTGGAAGATGTGTTATGTTCGATACGCAACAAATCTTAGTTACTCTTAAAATAGGTAACAACATCCCTCATTATAATAGTAAATATTTTGATTAGAAACTAGAAAGCCTATTCCCGTATGATTTTGACTATAAAATCTTTATAGAAATAAATTTAACAAACTAGCAAATACTAAATCCTATAGAATTTATAATAATTCCTAATACGTGTTTAATTCCAAAACAATCTCATTCTCATTATATGAAAGTTATTGTTCACCTAATATCTCCGTCTCAATCTTTAAATTTTCTTAAGTATGTATATAGAAGTTAAAGATATTGTCCATGTCGTATTTCCCATGTGATCATTCCTTATTTTAAACTGAAAAATAAATGTTCAACACTAGACTGCTAATTAGCATATTGACGAATATAATGCATCTGCGTCGTTTGTATATAGCTATAACATTGTTCTGTTAGGTGACTATTATGGCTAAGGCTAGCTTTAGCAATCTAATATTCGATTATTAAAATAAATATCGGGAGTATATTAATCAAGAATTCAATGACCTAGTTAAAGAAGCCATAACCTTCTGTACTTTGGGCACTAATATCAAAAATTTTGAATTCTAGTATAGTAATGCACTCCCAAATTTTACGACTAGATCCACATTTTTAATGTATAAAAACCTATAGATCACTTGCTATGACTGTGATCCTGTGACATGTCATACTTCGTCCAAGAATATAGTGTATTTATCCAATATGTTTGCCGGTAGTTAGCGGGTGTGCTGTGGACCATTTTTTATTATATTAGGTGTAAGGTGATCAGAGTTTTTCGATCAATGTGGACCATTATGCTTCATTTCCCATGCCCCAATTCTATAAGTAAGTAATTGAATTTAATTAAACATAAGACATTAATTAAATTAAATTTACTATATTATGCGTCAATTTCCATGCACTAATTCCACTCACTTTTCATACCACTAAATTTCTTTGTAATTGCCACCTTAGTTTGGAATAAATAATGATCTGATGGTACATCCTTCAAATGGTGGTTGTTTGTTGACTGAATTTCTTAGCACATCTTGTCTTTCACAATTCTAAAAATACAAAACATGTGATGTATTTTTTTATTGAATCTGCGACCTACTAGCCATTCAATATTCTATTATAATCATTAAACAATGTGAATATATAAAAGCACATGGTTACTGATTATAATTTTCCATTGCACATAATTATTATTGAATTATGAGAATAAATAAAAGCACATGGTTATTGTACATTAAATAAATACTAATATAAAAGGTTTGTTAATATTCTGTCCCGGAAACTGTCTTTTGGAAATGCTAAGCTCCTATTTGGCCATAATTTTTGGCAATTGTTTTTCAAAAAAATTTTGAAACTGGTTTAAAGTAGTTTTTGGGTGAAACTTTTACTCGCAAAACTTTAATTTTTTTTAAAAAAATAAAATACATGTCCAAACACAACTTTAGCTTTTAAGAATTATTTTTCAACACAACTTCAGATATTCTCTTTTCAAATTTCAATTAAATCTATTTCCAGCTAAGACGCGGACCTATAAAGTGGAAAGTTAAAAAAAAAAAAGAAAGATCCACATGTCAATATAATATCTTTTTATATTAAGTCTTCAATTTAGCTGAGAGTGTTGTATTATCTTGAAAAGATATAGGGGATGTGGCCTCGTGTCAATATAATAATAGAACAATATAGCAAAAACCCAGTAAGGCATGTGACGCTCTTCAAATATGTACTAGTATTATTTCTTTTATTTTTTTTATACTTAATATGACATCATTATAATTTAACATGTCAGAAGATTTTATTCCCGATGAAATTAAGGAGTTTAGTGTGGAGAAAAATTTACGTAAGAAAATATTTTGTAATTTTTTAATATTTGGTTGATTAAAATATTTTGATTTTTCTAGGAAAATAAGCTCTTACAAAATCAAGAAAATGACTTCTCTAGTGGAGTATGAAAAATAAGTTCCATAAGCGACATTCGATATTGACTATTTTAGAAGTAAGGTGAGTGGTAGGTGCCTTTGTGAAATATTGAAATAATCTTTTCTTCATTGTATGGACAAAATAGGGAACCTTCTCTCCTTCACGCTGCACGTTGTTAAAAAAAAGACAGCACCTCTCTTTTTGAATGATCTGAACTGCACTATATATACATATAACTGCAGAGGAACCAGAAAAAGAAAACCCCTTTGGAGAGAGAGAGAGAAAGAGAGATGAGTCAAGCATTAATGAGTTGTGACCTGAGAGTACACCAAATACGCTCATATGTAGGAATACAGGGAAGAGAGAGAAGGATGAATCATGCAATTAATTGCCAATCTACTGTTACTACTTGTGAACTCATGACAGTACAATCTACATACCCATATGCCGCTTTATTAGGAGCGGATAGATATAAGCGAAAGAGAAGATTAATAATGACGCAAGCAGCAGCAATTGATCCTTCTTCCAGTAGTGGCAGTGATAGCTCACGTCCTTTGGCAAATTTCCCATCAAATGTTTGGGGATACCATTTCCTCTCCTACACTTCTGAACTAACAGTATGTCATCTACCCACATGCATGCATGCTTTCTTCTGTTTGAATTTGCTTCCCAAATTAAAGGAATAGAAACTTAATTAGACCACTACATACCTTTAAAATCATTCTATAGAGAACATGTATGTTATATGCTGCAGCTATATATAGCATGTTATTATGTAGTTGAAACTTTTAACTAATGCTCAGTTTTTGATTGCAGGAAATTACTACCCAAGAAAAACTTGAACTTGAAGAGTTAAAAGAAAAGGTCAGGAAAATGCTGGTGGACACTCCTGATAATAGCACACAAAAACTTGTGTTGATAGACACAATTCAACGATTGGGAGTAGCATATCATTTCAGTAATGAGATCGAAACTTCCATTCAAAATATCTTTGACGCGTCCCAACAGAGTGAGAATATTAATAATGATGACAACCTTTACGTTGTTGCTCTTCGTTTCCGACTTGTGAGGCAACAAGGCCATTACATGTCTCCAGGTAACTTATTTCTGCTCTATCCTGCTCCCCTGCTTTATTGTTTTCTCTTTGCTTTATTACTTTGGGTTCGTGGTTACAACGTAGCATCATGGAAATTGTAATTTTGTCCTTGTACTGAAAAATAATCATCACCAGCTTTAATATAATGTGGCACTCGTAGATTTTTTAACTGTTAAATCCTCCAGTTGTACGAATATTTAAGTTCTCTTTGGCTGATCTATAATTTTTTTTTTTCAAATAGTAACTTGGTATAGCTGGTTTTTTGGATTTTAACTAAATTAATTTGTGTTGAAATTACAAACATGATGTTTAACCAGATGTGTTCAAGAAATTCACGGGCCATGACGGAAAATTCAAGGAGTCTCTTACTAATGATGTCCAAGGATTATTAAGTTTGTATGAAGCAGCACATTTTAGAGTGCACGAGGAGGAGATTTTAGAAGAAGCTATTACCTTTACCACCACTCATCTCGAGTCCATTGTCCCCAACTTGACCAACTCGCTAAAAGTTCAAGTCACTGAAGCCTTAATCTACCCTGTTCGCAAAGCTACACCGAGGGTGGTAGCAAGGAAATACATATCCATTTACGAAGACATTGATTTACACAACGAATTGCTTTTGAAATTTGCAAAATTGGATTTTAACGCGGTGCAAAAGCTGCACCAGAGCGAGCTTAGAGAGCTTACAAGGTACATTATTTGATCTAGCTTCTTTAATTAAATGAACAATGATACTTTGGGATAGCTTAATTATAAAAAATGAAATGCAACAAACTCTTGCTTATGTGATGTAGGTGGTGGAAGGATTTGGATTTCGCGAACAAATATCCGTATGCAAGAAACAGATTGGTTGAGGTATACTTTTGGATGTTAGGAGTGTATTATGAGCCTCAGTATAGTCGTGCCAGAAAATTTCTAACAAAAGTAATCAAGATCGACAGCATCCTTGATGACACGTATGATGCTTACGGAACCCTCGATGAACTTGTGCCTTTCACTGATGCCATCGAGAGGTAAAACTACATAAACTAGATAAATCTTTTTTTGAAATGATGTATGCACAAGATGTAAAAGTTAGCTTGTTTTTCTGATGATGTAAATCCTGATTTTCTAGATGGGACATCAGTGAGATCGATTCATTACAGCCATATCAGAGACCTGCTTATCAAGCTCTTCTAGACATTTACGGTGAAATGGAAGAACAATTGGTCAATGAATGTAAATCGGACCGCGTATACTATGCAAAAAAAGAGGTAATGTAGCTAAGTTAAATGGAAGCAATGAAAATATTTTGTGACAAGGAAATGCTCTCGCATTCAAAAAGAGAAGAAGATACTCATATCTAGCTTGCTATCTGTACTTCTTTCTTTCTTTTTTTTAGATGCAGAAGTTGGTGAGAGCCTTTCTTAAGGAAGCCCAATGGTTGAATGCTGGCTATACTCCAACTTGTGAGGAGTATACGAAGAATGCACTTGTAAGTTGTGGCTATATGATGGGAGCAACAACTTCCTTGGTTGGTATGGAGGATTTTATATCCCAAGAGAATTTTGAATGGATAACGAACGAGCCTTTGATAGTTTTAGCTGCATCAGTAATTAACAGAGCAATGTGCGATATGACTGGACATGAAGTAAGTAAAACTACAATATCTTATTTATTTTTAGAATTGTGTATACATAGCATGGAGAAAATATTGTGGTAAAAAAAAAAAAAAAAAAAAAAACAACAACAACAACAACAACAACAACAATAATAATAATAATATATAGTAGTAATAAAGAAAGAAAGGAAACCGTCCTAGTAGCATGAAGAACACATAACACGATAACTTACTAGGGAAAAAAGAAAAATTTAGAAAAAATAAATATCTACATGAAAATGATGGATATACAGAACAACTTGCAATGGTTGCTTATCTGCATGTGTACAAAAGGAACAGATTGTGTGTAATATATATGCTTCAAATTTAGCTATGAAGCTTAAAATATGATAAAAGTAGAGTGTTTGAAATGTATAATTATACTGAAGATATTGAAATCTATTTGTAGGTTGAACAACAAAGAGCACATATAGCTTCATTTATTGAATGCTACATGAAAGAGTATGGAGCATCAAAGGAAGAGGCATACGTTAAGTTACAGAAGGATATCACGAATGCATGGAAAGATATAAACAAGGAGTTATTGCGTCCTAAGGAAGTACCAATGTTTGTCCTCGAACGAGTTTTAAATTGTGCACGCTCAATGGACACGATGTATAAAGAGGGAGATGGATACACAGACTCCAAACGCAATATTAAAAACATGGTTAACTTGTTACTGGTTGAACCTATCAAAATATGAGGATAATGATGCAGATATAATATATGCACATTTGGTGAAGTATTTGGAGCAAAATAAGGCATGTATGAATTGAAGTCCTTCTAATATATGAACTGTTAATTCCTCTTGGGAATATCTGAGAGCAAGTTGTCTTTAACTTTATCAAAGCAAAGAGTAGTTGGACATGTTTCTAAAAATAAAAATACGATACTTAAAGCGCATTATCCTATTTCTTTTCATTTCTTAATTTCAATTTTTTGCTTTCAATTTAACGGGAGTAGTTTAGTTAAGGTACTAGTGGGGCTCACTTCAACAAGAATTGTTATCACGCTCTCTCATATTGATCTACTGAGTTGAAATTCAAGGCTAAGTGTCATGAATTTCTAAGCTGAAAATTTGAAATTCAGGGTTAAATATTTTGAATTTTTGAACTACTAATTTAAAATTTACAATACAAAAACTCGATTTCTAAACAAAAATTTTGAACTTTAGGACACGATGTCTTGAAGTTTGAACGAATTAGCTAATCTTTTAGTGCATTGTAAGTTATAGATATATTTTATACAGTATGCTTAAAAATAACTACCTGATGTCATTTTCACTCGTTTCAATCACCTCAGATTGTTCATAATGAATTGAGCACCTGTGCTGATGAGAAATTATTCACAGCGTCATTTTTTTCACCAATCAGGAAAAAGGAAAATACTTTGAATACTTTTGCTTCATATGTTTATGTACTAAAATAGCAACGCTCTCTGCTGGTCCAAAAAAATGCCACTACTAGAAAATCGTAAATTTCCGAATGAAAAATATTATAGGTGTTTACCCTCAAAATTGGATAACAATTGAATTTGTAAGTGGTCTTAAGGATACGTGGATTAACTTGACATAAAATGATTAATTAAGTTACAATTGGAATAAACAATGATAAAATAGATTCAAACCATATGAATGGGACAGTTTCAACCTTGGGAGGTCAGCAACCCTCGAAATAGATACATTTCGATCAGTATCAAGGTACAATAGAATAAGAGCTTAAAGAAAAAATAACAGTGTATTGCTTTGGAATGTGTGTTACCATATTTTTTACAAGTAATCAGACCCCCTTTATATAGTAGGGGAGTCATATATTAGGTACAACTCTATAAAAGGAAAAAATTCCCTAATTAAATAATTGCTGATCTCACGTCGATATATGCCAAGATCTTCGCCGTGATATTCGATCGGTCACGGATATTACGGCATTCTGTTGGCCGAGCTGGACTACCTGACAACGCTCTTTGAAGTTGATCAAGGCCAGGACCGAGACCGAATCACGACCCCGATATCCTCGAGGGCGGACGTTATGGTCCGGACTCAGAATTGATGAGATCTCTACCTCGGTCTAGGCCCCCCTATCACCATATCTCGAGATTAGCTTATCATGTCGGAGACCGGGACATACTACGAGACCGATTTTACCCGTATACAGATATTCCTCTCGTTTTTCAGAGAGTAGATGACGAGAAACGACATGAACGTCCGCTTCTCACTTCGGTACCCGCGTCTGAAATGACAAAATGAACGAAACGTCTGGTCAGTCGAGTCTTAATGGAATTAAATGCTCGTCAGTTGCCGGTCGGCCACTCTTCGATGCGAACCGTCGTCGAAAAACAATAAATACCTCTTCCTTTGTTCATTCTAACTTTACATCCAAACCTTCTATCCTTGTACCTTAGAAATCTCAATACTTTCTAGTACTTATACCCTAGTTTTTTGAGATCTTTTTTGAGAACTTTTACTCGTCTTCATCCCAAATCATCAAGTGCACTCTCTCAACTTCCTTTCTTCCTTTATTTCTCCTCCATAAAGAAATGGCAAAGACTTCAAAAACTGTACCCCAAAAAGAAAAGCCTTCTGCTTCGCGCCTGGCTACTGAGGCCGAAGAAACTGTTTCGCATATTGCCGTCGATGAACCAGTACAGGAACCCCTTTTGAACTAGTACAGGAACCCCTTGACCCGTTGCCCTAATCTCAACTTCTACGGACTGCACAGTTTCTAATGCGGCCGCAGATTTGAAAATTTTAACGAACAGAGTTCTTAGGGTTTTGAATTTTAGTACAAATCCGACATGGTATTAACAATTAAGCATGATAATCAAGTTACCCATCCCCTCAGAGAGTAATTATCAGTCTACCTATAACTTATTCACCCCACAACATTGTTCAAATAGATTCATAGACAAATGGTTCTAAATTTTACCAAAAATCTAAAAATTTAAAGAAGTTAATCAAGATTATGATGCATACCAGAGATGAATGAATGCAAGAGATGAGTGATCAATAGATGTTTGACTTGTAAGCAGCAACTTTAACAAGAGATTTCAATTTTTAGGACATTGAGAGCTCAGAGAGGGAAAAGACTTGTACAGTGACCCTAGGTCTCCTATTTATACTAAGGGTTTGATGGAGGAACAAGAGGGATGAGTGCGGCCGCAGAATTCCTTCTGCGGTCCGCTCTCTGTTACCTGGGGCTCAAAAGGCTTTGTTGATCTGCGGTCCGCACAATTGGTGGTGCAGCCGCAAATTTCTGATGCGGACCACAGATTTAGATGTGCGACCACACTTTGGTGATTTCTCTGACAAACCAAACTTCAGAGAGTTTGCAATTTACTATTTCAAGTTTTACGGTCCGCATTGAATTGTGCGGCCGCAGTTTCATTCTGCTGTAGCACTCCCAATTGTGCGGTCCGCACTTTTTTTATACTTAGTCAATTTTCTGAGCACAAATCCTACAAAGCACACTCATCCCTGCAACATAATTCAAAGCCAGTTAGCACAAAAAAATAACACCTATCTACAAAAGTAAAGAGAAAAAGAAAAAGAAACATGGGTTGCCTCCCAAGAAGCGCCTGATTTAATGTCGCGGAACGACGCAGATTATCATCACTTGATATGAATCACCACCACAACATGGCCATCACCAATTTTTCCCAAATAATGCTTCACCCGATGATAATTGACTCGAAACACCTCGTCATTTTTATTCTTCAAGTCCAATGCACCAAAGGGTGTCACTCCTACAACTTCAAACGTGCCACTCCATTAAGACTTTAACTTTCCGGAAAACATCCGCAACTGTGAATTGAACATCAACACAAGATCACCCTCTTTGACCTCTTTGTACCAAATGTACTTGTTATGAAGATATTTCATCTTCTCTTTGTATAAGGATGTACTGTGTATGCATGGTACCAGAATTCATCCAATTCATTCAAATGTGCCACCCTTAAGTTGGAGGCGACATCCCAATCAAGATTCAACTTCTTTAGAGCCCACATGGCTTTGTGCTCAAGTTCCCCCGGAAGATGACAAGCTTTTTCGAACACCAACCGGTATGGAGACATTCCGATAGGTATTTTGTAAGCCGTCCGGTAAGCCCATAAAGTATCATCAAGTTTCTTGGACCAATCCGTCCGGTTAGCATTCACTGTTTTGGACAAAATACTCTTTATCTCCTTGTTGGAGACTTCCACTTGACCGCTTGCTTGTAGATGATAGGGAGTCATGATTTTATGAGTGACACCATACTTGGTGAGCGTCGAAGGCTTTGTTGCAAAAATGTGACCCCCATCGCTTATGATAGCCCGCGGAGTACCAAACCTTGTGAAAATATTTTTCTTCAAGAACGCCACCACACTTCTCGCCTCGTTGTTGGGTAGAGCAACGACCTCAGCCCATCTGGAAACGTAATCAATCGCGATGAAGATGTAGGTGTTTCCACATGATCTCACAAAAGGACCCATGAAGTCAATACTCCATACATCGAAAATATCAATCTCCAAAATGGTGGTGAGGGGCATTTCATTTTTCATTGAAATTCCACCGGCCCTTTTATTGATACCCATTTTTGACCTCACATTCCTCGAATAGTATATATACTTTTAAAACATCATTTTGCATCATTATTTAATTTAAAAGATTTATGGAAGCATTTTCTATAATTTTTCATAATTTTAAAGCTTTAATATTGATTTTCTTGCATTTTAAATTGTTCAAATTTCTATTAATTACCCTTTCAAATTATTTTGTGATGTCTTAATCATCTAATATTATTATTTGTAATTGCATATAGGTTTCATAATATTTTTTACCTCTTTTTATACAATTATATTTGCATTATTAGGCTATTTACATAATTTTGCAATAATAGCCTATGTGCTATGCATAAGCACATTTTTTTACATTATTTGTGCCAAATATCTTTTTTACATTTTTATAGTGTTAAGTTATTATTTTTCAATTATTTTATTGCACAAGTAATATTTTATTATCTATTAATTATTTTTATAAATTTTTTGTTTTAACAATTTCGGGTATTTAACATATAGCCCAATACAAGGCTAATTCAGGACCAAAATAGGCAGCCCAGATACCCTACAACCTTTGGCCAAATTCAACTTAGCCCAAACCAAACAACCCTCTTTAGAAGTACCCGGTCGGGACCTGTTCCATGACCCGCGCCGCTTCTCCTCTTATCCTGACCGTTGATCTCAAATGATCAACGGCCCACAGCCTTCCCCCTTATTTTGTTACCCAAACCCCTGAAACCTTAACCCATTCCCCTTAACCTGCCACCCCTCAACGCTCTCAACCCCCCCTTCTCTCTTCTGAAGAACCCTAGCCGCCTCCCCTTAACTCCCTCTCCTAATCCCTTCGATAATGGGATTCGACCATTTTTTGCTTACCATATTTGGATTCCTTTGGTACTGATCATACATTTATGGCATTACTTAGGTATTTGCCCAATTTTGGCAAATACCACCTCTATATCGGACGAGAATCAACTCAATCTCGCGAAATCGGGTTTCAACATTTTGACAACTCCTTTTGAGAGGGTAAGGAAAAGGAATTGTTTAGAGTCGCCACCTAACAGATTAAGGTGTGTTAGGGCACCTAGAGCAGATAACTCATATCATACCAGTTCGCATCACCAGAGATCGGGTAAGGGCTCGAAATTACCTTGAGGGGAAGGTGTTAGGCACCCCTCGAGGTCCATAACAGTGGGTTACTTAATGGGGGTCCTAAATTTTTTAGCTTAAAGGATCACCCCGTGCAACATAAATAATACTTCGTGACTCCCTCGAGATGGGGTGTTACTCATATTATTCAGCGGGCACAGACTATCCTCTCCTGGTACCCAATTAC